TGGGGTGATGCTGCACTGCCTGGAGCCACCGGCAGCCCGGGCTCTTTGGTGGGGTCAGTAGGGCAAACGGCAGAGCTTGGCCCCGCGCCCCTGACACCAGCTCACATGTCTCCGGCCATGCAGGAGCTGTGCAAGGACACACTGGAGTTCACCATGGCGAGTCGAGACACCTGCAAGGCTTTCTGGAAGACGTGTGTGGAGTACCATGCCTTCTTCCGGCTGTCTGAAGAGCCCAAGTCAAAGCCCAAAGCCCTTCTGTGCAGCAAAGGCTCCAGTTTCCGTTACAGGTAAAGTCCCAGGGGAAAACCAAACTGCTGGGGCCAGGAAGGGTGTGGGGACAGCTCTGAGCCTCCCCTTTATGCTGGCCCTCGCTGGATGCAAGGGCATGATGCCCAATAGCTGCTTTTCCTGGAGAGACCACTGCCTCGGTCCTGCTGTGTCCCCTTGCCTCCCCTGGGATGCGGTGATGCCTAGGGCTGGGGCTGATGGTGCTGCTCACGCCTTTCCCCCCTTGCTGCAGTGGGAGGACACAGAGGCAGCTGCTGGAGCACGGGAGGAAGGCGAAGATGAAGAGCCTGCCCTTTGAAAGGTACCAGAGGGCATGGAGGGGTGCAGTGCCTGGGTTAGGGGGGGGCGATGGAACCCTCCTGGCCATGCACCCACCCATGCTCTTGGCCTTGCAGGAAGCACTACACGTCCCGCTACGATGACAGACAGTGCCGCTCCTCTCCGGACCTCCTGACGGATGTCTCCAAGCAGGTATATCCCCATGGTGTCAGCGATAGGTAGGGCCGTGCCCGGGGGTCTTGGCATTGCAGCCCTGGCTGGTGGAACTCAGCTGGAGGCCAAGCCAGACCCTTGGCTCCGGGGCTCACTGTGAGCCCCGCTCTGCCCCCCTGTCCAGCTGGGGGTCTGGGCACCCACCCACCCTCTGTCCCTGCTCAGGTGGAGGAGCTGCGCTTGGCCTATGGTGGCCGGGGCTCCTACCATGCCAATGGGGTGCATGCCTCCGAGCCCACACTGGACGGCCGGCGCCGGAGCTCTGCCGTGGAGGTGACATTTGCTGCCGAGCTGGAGCGCTCCAAGCCCGAAGCGACCCCCACCTTCCTGCCCCACTCCAAAAGCTCGTCCACCTTCCCCCTGCTCTACGACAAGCTGGAGATGGAGCGGGCATGGGAGCCCATCGACCTCTTCAGCACCAGGAACCCTTTGACATCCTTTCGGCCCCACCACCAGTTCACTGCAAACAGTAGAAGCACCTCGGTGGGCAACATGCGGGAGGTGAGCACCCGGCCGCTGGTGTACACAGATGTGCCGTGCCCCCTGCCCATGGCTGCCTTGGCCCCGCAAGTCCTCTTCTACCTGGACAGGCCCCCGGAGCCCCCGTGCCATGCACCAGTGCCCAGCGAGGACACAGCAGGACCAGTCAGTGGATGTGGCCCCATGTCAGCAAACCCCCCCAGGCAGAGCCCGAGTGGGAGCCAGGCCGACGAGTTTCATCGGGAGGCTGCATGCATGGCAGTGGACACGAGCGTGGCCCCGGTGGGGGAGAGCAGGTCACTGGCTCACTCCTTTGATTATGGCCTTCAGGAGCAGCCTCCCAAGAGGTCTTGGAGCCAGTCGGACATGAAAACCATCCACTTCCCCTATGGCTCTGAGTTCAGACCCCTGGGGCCGTGCCCCATGCTGAGCAGCCGGAAAGCAGGTGTCTTTCGGCACGTGCCGGCCCAGCAAGGGCTGGCGCTGGGGCCACGGTGCTCTGCCGAGCGCTACGTGGGCAGCAGCACCGAGTCCAGCGACTCCGACTCCGACCTCCTGGCTGCTGACTACTGCTCCCTGTATGGCCGGGTGCTGCGGTCGCCCATGGCCCGGGTGCGGCTGTCCTCCGGCAGCCTCCAGCTGGATGAAGAGGATGAGGAGGTGTCCTTCGCCACCGGTGCCGCTGAAGAGAGGACTTCCAGGGCGGCCTCTGGGTATTTCACCTAGGTGCCTGACACCGGCCAGAGGGAGCAGAGGTGGCCGGCATTGATCCGGGGCCACAGAAGGGTGACATTCTTGCTTGCAGGGCTGCTTACTGCTTGCGAAACATTGATGGATTTGTGTTGTGTGAGTACTCTTAGCTATAGAGGATGTGCCAACGGACAACAGGGGAGCGTTCAGAAGTACCCATCCCCTGCACCATGCTTGGAAGCTGGAGTGTCTCTGCCACCACGCGTGGGGTCCTGCTCCAGGCAGAGGGGCCAGGGCTCTCCTAAAGCCCTGCAAAGACCTTGCATCCTCCCCAGTTGGGCAGCTGCTGGCCACGCTTGGAGCTCAGCCACTGGAGTCTTCGTTGGAGGGAGAGAGAAAAAGACAAGAGACATCTCATGGAAGAGGTTAAACATCTGTTTGTCACGGCTGCAGAGAAGCACACTGGTGGAAAGGGTGTTTGAGGCCCATTTGGAGAGGAGCAGGGTGGCTGGGGAGGCTGCTGCAGGAGCTGATGCCCCGTGGATATAGCCAATGCCCCAGCACAGAGCCCACCTCCTCCATCCTGCGTCTCCTCCCTCCCAACGCTGCAGCGAGCGCCTGGCCCTCGAGGACAGGGCTGCACGTGTAGGGTGCTCCTTGTGATGCTTGGACCCGCAGAGGAAGCAAACAGCTCTGTCTTCTCCCCAGCCAGCCTACAGCACTACCCTTCCCCAAGAAATATCCCGTAGGTGCTTGTAAATCATTCAGCAGCATCCAACAGCGAGCTCTAGGAAGTGGGTTAATGAACAATAACGTATAGCTCTGCTTTTCTTCGATCCACTAGCTGTCATTTTCTGGCGGCAGCTCCACAGCCCCGGCACCTCAGTGCCCTGCTTAAATCTGGGGGAGTGAGGCAGGTGAGGGGGCCCTTTGCTCCCCCAAATCAGGCCTTGGTTAAGCAGCATGGGGGAAAAGATCTCAGGAGGGGGTAGGAAAGAAACAGGCAGCTGGTGCTCACCCTTGGCATTCGGAAGTCTGCTGTAACCATGGCGCTTCGAAACTTTTCTGTTTGCTATATGAGTGCGATGTTATTTTTACCAGGGCTGTTTCTAGCTATAAAGAAGGAGCAGGAGATGGGACTGCTCACCATCCATGGCGCAGCAGGAGGGGGATTCCCAACTTATCCATTGCTCCCTTGAAGGGAAAAGGTATAAAGATACTTCTTGGAAGTACTTTTATTACAAAAATTATTATTACCCTAAACCTACATGAAATCTACTCAGAAAACTGGAAATGATGACACCTCTGTAAGATTTTAGGGGAGGATCTTGTTACTTTTCTTTAAGAACCCTGTAAGACTCTCTTGGACGTGCCTGCAAGGACAGGGACAGCCCAGTAAATCCAGTTGAGAAACTACTGTGACCTGCTAGAATGGATTTCAGAAACAAGGAAGCTGAGGCAAAGAGAGAAAATAGGTTAAAATGTAAGAAGAACTGGGCTTATGGGTACTGTTCACCCTGCGCATCGCTGTCCTTTGTTTTAGAAGCTGGACAATAAAAGTCAGTTGTTCACACCAGAGTTTTGGGTTCCTCCTTCCACCCTGTCAAATCTGCACCCCCAGCCCTGCAGGCACCCCCAGCCCACCTTCCCCTGCGTCTCCCGTCTCCCAGGCAGCCCTCATTGCTCCACAGAGCTGCCAGGCTGGTTTCCCTCTCCCGCAGCTGCTTGCTGGTTCCCCCTGTACCTTCACTGTCTCAGCGATGGGGGAGACTTGCCGAGATCCCTGAATGCTGCTGAAGACAACCACATTCTTGGTTAGCTGCCCAAAGAAATGTGTCAGATCAACAAGAGAGCACACTGTAAGGTTTGCTTTTGCTCCTGGTTACTCTGTGCTGAAGAAGCTGAGAACTACAGGGACCCCACGTGCTGCTCTGGCACATGTTCTATTAAAAAAAAAAAGGGATAATCTTTCTGGTTATAGAGAGTTGTTTCTTCCCTTTCCCAAAGCTCTGCACCTTGGAAAGAGCAAGAACCACCACTCAATACAGCATTTAAGTATGGCAGTCTATATGCACGATTTGGTAGAGGGGGAAAAAAGAAAGCAGCAGTGTTTCACATACAGACTGCACACACAGCCCTCCGGGAATGTCCCTTAAAGGGTTGTACCTTAAGCATACAGGCAAACCTACAATCACTGTTAGCTCCTGAAAGCATATGGAGACACAAGTGAAGGCTGGCCCAGGTCAGCTTTACCTTGAGCATGTCCCAGAACAGACACACAGTCCCACTGAGAGGAATCAACGTACAAGCCACACTGCCCAAATCTCCCAGAGCTGCCAGCTCTGAGAGGCAGGACTATGCCGGGAAAACAGCATTGAGAGGGAGAAACAAGGACTTGGGAACTATTTTTGGATTTTTCCGTTGACTAGAGAGCACTGTGGCACAGCGTGTGCACTGTGCCTTAGCACATCCTACACAATGGTCAACAACAGCAGAGGAACAAAGCAGCTCGTAAGTGACAGAAATTAACATCTTCAAGCTAAGTTCATTGCGTAAACTAGCTTTCTTGGGACCGACTAAAATAAAGGAACAATCCCAGTAAACAGTGGCTCACACATCAAGGAACAATTGAAATAACCCTTGAGTAAGTCCTTCCCTGCTCAGCACTATTCACCCAAAAGAGGTAAGAACATCTATTCAAGTGATTGTGTTTCACTAGGGAAGAAAACAAAGATGGAGAGAGGACATGGAATGATTTGGTCTGCTGACGGTGAAAGACACACAGCAGTACCTGGAAAATGATAACTTTTATAGCCCTTACGCAAGCAAGGGTTATTGAAGGGGGAGGAGGCACAGCAGCATTAGTGTCAAAACATTAAGCTACTCAATGCATTCGGACTGAAGTAACTGGGGTTCATATAAAATATATAACTTATAGAATCATAGAATCATTAAGGTTGGAAGAGACCTCCAAGATCATCGAGTCCAACCGTCAACCCAACACCACCATGCCCACTAAACCATGTCCCTAAGCGCCTCATCTACACGTCTTTTAAGTACTTCCAGGGATGGCGACTCAACCACTTCCCTGGGCAGCCTGTTCCAATGTTTAACCACTCTTTCAGTAAAGACATTTTTCCTCACGTCCAATCTAAACCTCCCCTGGCGCAACTTGAGGCCATTTCCTCTCGTCCTATCGCTTGTTACTTGGGAGAAGAGACCGACCCCCACCTCGCTACAACCTCCTTTCAGGTAGAGAGCGATGAGGTCTCCCCTCAGCCTCCTTTTCTCCAGGCTAAACAACCCCAGCTCCCTCAGCCGCTCCTCATAAGACTTGTTCTCCAGACCCCTCACCAGCCTCGTTGCCCTTCTCTGGACACGTTCCAGCACCTCAATGTCCTTCTTGTAGTGAGGGGCCCAAAACTGAACACAGTGTTCGAGGTGCGGCCTCACCAGTGCCGAGTACAGGGGCACGATCACTTCCCTGCTCCTGCTGGCCACACTATTGCTGATACAGGCCACAAGCTGTATCTATACTTATAGATAAAGCTAATCTTGAAATTCAGATGCAGGATGTTCAGCACCTTTTTAGGCATAGGTGTGAATGTTAGGATATAAAAAGAAGCAAACTGTACACAGTATACAAAGAACTTGTGTTTGGAGAAGCACTAAGACAGGTTTCAGTGTATTTACCTCATCTCTGTATTAAGTGTTACTTCATTTATTGGAAAAATGTGAAGTAAGGCAAGCCAACATACATACCACTAAAACTTTGCAAAGAGGAAAATAATTTTATTCCAGTGTTAAGTCATAAAACAGTGTGATAAAAATCAGACCTTTAACAATTGCTAAACTTTGTGCAAACACATTAAGAACCTACGTACTTTCCTATTCAGCTATAGACATTCAGTGAATGCATGAACAGGTGTTTACGATACTACATGCTTACTGTACAGAAGTGTGCTAGAAGAGTCAGAGACCAAGGGTTTTACGCATGGTTACATTGATAAAGGACTCATCTACCCAAGAACAAATACATTTTTCTATTCTGTGATTCAGACTACTTTGCTAAGACTACTTCAATATCAATTCTTCTCAATCTACAGTGGGAAGCCTAGCAAACCAAATAAGCAAGAAGATGGTTCCTGCATGAATATTTTGATATATCTTTCCATTAGCCAGCAACAGAATACTGCTGATTAAGTTACACAGTTCATCAATAACTAACACATGGTGGGGAAAAAGACAACTGTTCTCTGGAAACCAGTAATATAGACATCCATTCTTTAGATTATAGTCTTATGATGCACAGAGACATTAGGCGCAGAAATGCCATATGCAGTACAATAAAAAACCTTCTTGAATGGACTTGAAGAGAACGAGGTTGTATTATACACACGTGGATGAGTTTTTCCCCACACTGTCCTATGAGGTAGGTATACATCCCACCCATTTCACAGGAAAAGAAGAGGCACCATAGTTCAGCAACTTTGTTCCAGTCATATCACAAACGGGACAAGTTCCAATTTCCCAAATAATTCACTAACCCTACCTACCCAGAATCGTTTAAGAGTTGCATAGATTAAAGACCCTGTGTCAACAGGGTAGAGCCACCAGTTACAAAATTCGGGAGGAATTCTCATCACTTCTCCCCTTGCTCTCCCACATAAAAAGAACACCTTAAGGGAAGTGACATGGAAGTGAAAACATGTTTTTAATTCTGAGAAATTTGTATGGAGCTCTTTAAAATGAGATTTGGGTCAAGACTGCTGAAGTGAAAGCCGAGGTAACTGTGGCACAGGCCTTTTTGTACCTTCACTCCACAATGCTGAGTTCACAATGAAGTCAGAGTGTTCTGACATCTCTACCATGTTGTCACGGGCTGTGCACGTTTGTCTGAGCACACAGATCCTGAAGACTCCTCTTTAGGAATGGAATGAAACTGAACCCTGGGGCTGCTCCATCTGTCTATAGCATTCCCTGTGGCGCAGCAGCTGGTAGGCGTCTTCCGGACAATAACAGCATGGGGGGGACCC